CCCGTGACCAGTCGGAAGGGCGGGCTAGGCGTTTCGCTTGGGACTGCCACCCACGAGCCTGAAGCCTAGAAACCGGCAACACTTTCACACATGTAGGGCTGGTGTATTTTTAGATGCGGTTCTCGCTTTAGGCTTTAGCGCCGCGCACATTCGTATCAACTATGTGCAGTAGCTTCACATGTGGAGGGCGGTTCCTTTTCAACATGGGGCTCTCGCCCTAGCGCCGCGCACATTCACAAAAAACATATGCAGAAGCTTCGCGGATTGAGGGCGGGTCGTTCTCAAATGTGATTATCGCCTTTGTGCCGCGCGCACTCGTACCAAACATTTGCAAACCTTTTACGGGTTGAGGGTGTTTCATGTTCAAAATGTTGTTCCCGCTCTCGCGCCGCGCACACAATCTTTTCAAACAGTTGCAAGTGTTTCACGGATTCTCACGGCGAATATACAATAGTCGTTTTTTTTTGAAACGTTTCAGGATTGCCATGGCGCAATCGTTTCGTTGATTTGCGAGGTGAAGTCTCAGGAATGGTATTCCGCACGATTCAGGATCGTCAAGACGCATGTCCGGTGGACTCGTGGCTTGGGAGTCCTCAGAATGGTGTTTTGGCACGCATCAGGAATTCCACACGGTTGTCTCCTAACTGGGCTTGTCATTCAGTGGAAATGAATCATTGCAAGGCCCAATCAAAGAAAGGTTTTTGGGTGGGAGGGTGTATTCCAACATTGTTGATGAGACTTGGGCTAACATTGGTTCTCCTCCTCCTCATCCTTCTCCCTCTCCTCCTCACTCTCCTCCCGATCGCCCTCTGCTTGCTTCTCCCGTGGCCTCTCCTCGCCTCGCTCCGTTCGGCGGCGAGCGAGGGGGGGAAGTGAGAGTGGGAAGGCCCCCTATCAGAAGGCGGCGGGGATTTTCAGACGCCCTCCGGCGATTCTGAGAGGTGTTGTGTGTCCTCGGAGCGGGGTCAGGCAACTTCTCAGAGGGCCGGGGGACTTCCGAGCCTTCTGGCAAGGCCTGGCCCTTCTCACCTCGCTCCCTGGCCAGCCGCCGATCCCTGCCCTTCCTCCTCCTTTTTTTCTCCGCCTCCTCCTCTTCCTCTTCTTTTTCCTCCTCGTCCTTCTCGCTGCTTCTCTGCACGTTCGTATCCTCCTCCTTCTCCTCCTCCTCCTCCTCCTCATCCTCCTCCTCCTCCTCCTCCTCCTCCCCCTCCTCCTGTCTCCTCCTCCTCGCCTGCACAGGGAGGAACCACGGGAGGAGCATGCAGAGGAGGAGGAGGAGGAAGAGGAGGAAGAGGAGGAGGATAAAAGACATGGAGAGGGCGAATCCTCTTCCTCCTCCTCCTCGTCGTTGCTCCTGTGCACGGCCGTCTTCTTCTCCCCCCTCGCCTGCAAGAAGGTCTCGAGTGCGCTCTCTCTCCCGATAACCGAGCGGAGCGCGGTCATCCATGTCGAGTCGATGGAGCACAGGAAGTCGGTCACAGAGAGGTGGTCGGCCACGCGCACATGGGGGGGGGGGTAGTGGGAGAGAGGGAGGCTTCTTAGAAGCGCCCTTTGTTTCTTAGAAGGCGCAGGCCTCGCATCTATATATGTAGATGCAGGGCCAGCACCTTCTGAGAAGCAGCCTCCTTCTACGAAGCCTTCCCCCCTCCCCCTGCCCCCCTTCTGCGCGCCGCCAGAGGTGGGGGGGCGACCACGACGAAGGGCACGTGGCGCTGGCCGCGCTGGGCAGGACCTCGCCCCTGTGGCTGACGGTGCTGATCCTGGTGCTGACGCGCATCGAGCCGATCGGGCTGAAGGGCCTCCTGACCGCCACCGCCCCCTCGGTCACCCTCGGGTTGCACCTCCTCCTCCTCCTCCGCCGCCTCCTCCTCCTCCTCCTCCACCTCCTCCTCCTCCTCCAACGCCCCCTCGGTCACCCTCGGGTTGCGGCAGCTGGGGGACTTCACCCTCTCCGCCTCCCTGGTTGTGGGCCTGCACGACATCATGCGGGCGCCCCTGTACAAGAAGTGGGACTTCGCGCTGCTCTACGTGCCGAGCATCATCCCGTTCTTCCTCGTGGGCTCCTTCACGCTGCTGCTCTACCGGAAGGAGCTGCGGACCGGCCCCTGCAGCATCTTGGAGGGCGTGGTGGCCCGCATGCAGAAGCCGCTCGTGGCCCTCACGGGCGCGCTCATCCTGGTGGAGCTCCTGCGCGGGAAGGACAAGTACGCCGACGCCCCGGCGACGATCATCGGGGTGCGCGTGTCGTCCCTGCTGAGCTACGGCTTCCTGGCCCTCTCCGCCGCGCTGGGCTCCCTGGGGGCCTTCTTCTCGGGCTCCACGACGATCTCGAACCTCACCTTCGGGCAGGTCCAGATGGTCGCGGCGGAGAACCTGGGCGTGAGCAGGTGACCGAAGACGAACAAGCTTCGGGGGCGGAAAAGAGGGGGGTGATGACTAAGGGGGGGGTGGATATCATGGCGCGGGCCATGTTTTTTCACCAGATTTCATGGCGTCTCTT